GAGGCAAATGATCCATACACTACCACTCAAACAAGTGGCACTCATACAATAGCACGCCGTATGAGCAACGAAAGAGAAATATGATGCAAGAACCCCAAGTCAGTACTTAATTAAGCCACCTAGAGTCCTTAACTTGGCATAAAGAATATGACCACTGGCACACTTTTTAGTTTGGAAATCACGTTTTTCAAATGCCTTTTTGTTTTAAATACACTTGTGAACAGTAACACGCTAAACCATGCTCTAATGCCAGCTGTAACAGAACCGACCAATTATACGAAATTAAGTAAGAAAATCATCCGCCAGAGCAGACGATTTAGCAAACTTAAGCCCGTATAACCCGGTAGTCTGTGAAATAACGAAGGATTTCAAACCAACTCACATACCAGCCAAGATCATAATAAGTTTAGCGGTCACCATCACATATTACATAAAATTTCGCATCTCGGATACATCAGAGTTTAAACATAGTTATTACAAAACGAGTTCAAATAGAAGTAGCGGAAGCCATTTGTTCAAAACCACACACTCACACGGAGTTCAAATACAGTGCCAGCTAATGATCATCTCTAACAAAAGCATCAAACGAGACGTAAGGAATGACCATGCCCATGGTCCTAAGCATCACCCATCGCAGGATAAAGCAGTTGATACAGTAGCCGTAATACATCTGCCCATCTGCAACAAGTGGGAATAAAACCCTGAGTACGAGAAGGTACTCAGCTAGACTTACCCGACATAACCGAAAATAAAGTGACACCAAGGATTATGAAGGGCTTTATAGTAGGGTAGCTGACTCAATTGCAAAAAGCGGCATTTTTAGTATTTCAAGAACCTTTCCAAAAGAATTATTGTCAAGTTAATTATGCTTAACCTGTCGACTACATTTGCACCTATACTAGAGCAAACATGTGATTAAACAAATAATGATAACCAATGATCATTAACAACTTTCATAATGTCATATTCATTATAACTGTCCAAGTGTTCCATCAACATTACTACGATGAAGTCACTCAAGTCAAGTGCTCACTATCCAGGAGCGATGGCGATTCGAATCGATTCCTAACCAGCTGGTGATTTATTCCTTACACAAACCTCACTCACCCGCTAAAGTGAGGTATCGGTCACCGAGTCAACTATCCAGGAATCTTGAGTTTGCCAGGAACCACATGTACCCGGGGCCCGACCGACTGCTCTTTGGTCTTATCTTTGCGCCCCGTGTCCTACCACACTGCTGCACACATGTCGGCATGGGCAATCTACTCGGCCCGAATAATCTCCCAACCTTCAATCGAAAGGTACTTTATTCGCCCCGACTAAATGTAAGGCATGCGTTCAACATGACCTGAGGCCCAACAACAGTAGGTCCTTAATCGGCACAGATGGAAAGCACTACAGTCCAAAACTCTATAAGTCTCCGTCCGGTCTCAACTTCATTTAACACTTAGTTATACCATGACTACATAGTTCTCCAAGCGAGATCCGGTAACCACCTATAGCTCGCGGTGACACGAAATCACCCGACTTCTACCGGTCTAAGCCACTAAAGCATTGACTCTGACTACTGATACCGTGGTAACAAGGATATAGTATAACAAAGGTAGACAATGTATAATGCAAAGAACGGTTGCAAACAACTCCTGAACGTAATGCATCAATTAAAGTAAACCATTTAATTAATAATTGCAAACCAGGAGAAAAAAATGCTCCGGGCTTGCCTCTCTCGAAGGAGCTCGAAGCGGTGATCGGGGCACTCCAAAAGTTCCTCAACGTCCTCCTCGTGCCTTCGGTCACTTCTGCTGCAGCGCACTCGAGCTGCTCCTCGGACTCCTCGGGTATGACGACTGGGCTCTCGGTTTGCGATCTGTATGATGCATGTGCGTAAGTGCTTATGCAAAAGTGCATCGGACGAAATGAACACAATGGATATGCTTGAATGCAAGGTAGTCAACATCATCCAAGAACATATACTACAAGCACATGTCATCTACTGTATTCTCTTCTACTACTAATATGCTGAGTCAACACATCTCATTAAATGCTTCAAAGATACACCAAAGCTTCACTAATTTCTTAATCATGCATAAAGCAACATTTGATTAAACCCTAACTAATTATAGGTTTGAATAGCAACATCTATTTTTATAGCTTAGAAAAATCTTAGAAAATTACCATAACACAGTACTACCCTAAGTAGTCTACCATCATATTTTTAGGGCATTTGGATAAGTGGAATAGCCTACACAAAAATGACAAGCTATGGCATAATTATGAACATGAAAATACTTTGTACTGTGAAAAGTGTCAAACAACAGATGTAATATTTTTCCTATGTTCTAAACAGCAAATAATTACTGTACAAAAATTATCACATGCATGTTTTATACAAATTTTGCTCTCTAGCAAAAATAACAAAAATCAGCCATTAAAGGCACTTGAACTACACCTCATACTCTTTCTACAGGACATGCATGGAATATATTTTTCACAGGAAGTACATTACACAAGAAGAGTAACAAACTTGGAATCATATTTTTCTGATCTTTCTATGATTTATTATGACTTTCTCAAGAAAACAGCAATTTCAATGATTAAATAAAACTCCACAGAAAAGTATCTCAAGAATGACATGCAATATTTTTATCATGTAGATCTGGTGACAAGAAGCACAACCAAATTTGTTTCACCATTTTTGGAGCAATATAACTGGAGATATACATTTTACAAGCTTTGTAAATCAATTTCTGAAATCATTTTCTTTAATACTGAAATCCCACCGACCCAAAACCGCTAGGTGCACCTGGTGCAGTGTACCCAGAGGGGCTGCCAGGCGGGACCCGCAGTCAAGCCGGACCCTCGCGTCAGCCGGAGCCAAGGTAGGGCCGTCGTTGACCGGCCGGCTCTCGTCGCCGGTGAGCTTCCTGGCGGTGAGGTCACCATCAAGGCGCGCATGGCGGGTCGGAGACGCGGCTCACCGACGACCGGCCATCTCCGGCCGAGAAGGGGTGTGAGAGGTGGTGTGGGAGCTTCACCGAGCTCGTGCGGTGCTCGTGCGCGCGAAGGGAGAGCGAGAAGGAGGACGGAGGGGCGAGGTCCACGGAGCGGAGTGCTCCGGCGAGCTCGGCCACAACTCCGGCGAGATATTCCCAGGGAGAGGGAGCTTCTCACGGCTTACCGAGGAGAGCACGAGGTGCGCGAGGAGGAGGCGGAGCTGCGGGCGAGATGGAGGGTTCAACGGCGAGCTAGGACGGCCGGGTGAGCTACTTCCGACGAGGCGCGGCGCGCGGTGGCGAAGGCGGACGTGCGCCGCTGCTGTTGCTGCTGCTGAGTGAGCGAGAGAGTGGAGCGGGGAGCGCAGCGGGGTCAGCAGATGAAGGCGAGCGCGTGGAGGGCGAGGCAGGCCGGGGCTGCCGCGCGGCATGCGTCGCCGGCGCATGGCGGCCACGCGGCGAGCGCGCCCTGACGCGGTCGGCGCGTGCGCGTGAACGAGCGCAGCGAGCGAGAGCAGGGGAGCGGCGCGGAGGCAGGCCGGGCCGGCCTGAGCGGCTGGGCCGAAAGCGAGGCGGCGGCCTAGTAAAGGAGAGAAACCATTTTTCAAATTCTAATTTTAAGGAATTTTCAAATACCCTTTTGAACAAGAAAATGACTTCTTTTGAAAATGTCCCAAAAATAAAAGTTGCTTAGAATTTAATCCTCTACAACTTTGCTTTAGGGACCAACTAAAAATTTTGCATAGATTTTGAATTGGGAAGCGAAAGCTAAATAGGGAGGATTTTTGACCATTTTCAATAAAAATTTCAAATGCATACTTTGTCAAAAGTTTGAATACAAACTTTGCTCCAAAAACTGTGCTAAATAATTTTAGATGATTTACAATTATAGCCAAACATGTTTTACTAAACTAGCAAGCATAATTAGGGTAAAAACAACTCTAAACAAGTGTATGCAACATTCATGTTTCACGAGCATGTTTCATATGTTTCGAAGCATGGTTTTAGTTATTATTTACATAATTAGACATGGATACTTAGGATGCTTGATGATGCACAATATGCATGATTTGCAGTGCCTAAATGTTGGCATAACACCGGGGTGTTACAGCATTCTTCCTCCCACAACACAACTATGGCCACCAATGGATGAAGTACAGCTTGCATGTGGGCCTAGCGGGAGCAGAGGAGCGAAGAGCGGGAGAGGGCAGGCGGATAGAGCGACGACACCTACCTAGACGAGGTGGATTGGTTGGAGGCGGTCGCCGGTGATGACATTGACGTCCTCACAGCGGCACGACCGACAATCTTGTCACGGTAGGGTTTGGTTCCTTCCTCCCCCTCCTGACTACAGCCACCGGATCTCGACGGGCGGCCAATTCATCACAGCCTCTCGCCCCTTAGCCTCAACTCGCTCGAATCCGCCTCCACCTCCACCTCGAATCGAGGCCGCACCGACGAATCCGCCCTAGATCTGGGCCGCGCTGGTGACGACAGACCTTCACCTCCACGTTGATGGGGCCGCACCGGTGCCGACGAGGCTTCTGCCTCCACGTCGACGGGGAGGAGGTCAGCTTGTGCCGCTGCAAATCGAGACTGGGCTGCGACGATAGAGCGTGCACCTCCGCCTTGAACGCGTTGAGTAGGGAGAAGGGGGAAGGAACAGGTGCACTGTTTTGAATTTTTTTAAATTGCCGTGGCGGAGCTAGGACGGAGCACAACAACAACAACGAAAAAAAAAAGACAAAAAACGGAACGCGGCTGCTGGAAAAGGAAACCGTGCGTTGCGAGCTGGGGCAGCGCACGCGCGTTGAATAAGGTTTGGGGTCGTACATGCCCTCAGCTCCCGTACTGGACCCGCGTCAGACAGCCCTCTTTTTTTCCGTGTAGATCTCGCTTCTTACCATACCAAGTTCGTGTACCAGAAACCCCGGCCCTACCTGCACCCACACCCCCGGCTCGCCGGAGAATAACGCTGCCGCCGTATAATCACGTAAATTCGTGGGCATGGAGGGCGTGGGCGCGCGGCTAGGGCGCACTTCGGCGCGCTACGGGCCGGCGACGACGTTCACGGGACCTGTTAGGAAGTGGCGCAAGGAGTGGGTACCAGTGGTCGCCGCCGCCGTCAACGCCAACGCCAGCGCCAACGGTGGCACGGCGTCCTCCACGGGGATGGGATCTGGCGGAGGATCCCGTGGGAATAATCTTCTCCTGTTTAAGTGGACCCCGGTGAACGGGGCTAACGGGGGAGGAGGAGGGGATGGGGAGCAGCTGCAGGCGGCGGAGACGGCCACGAGACGCCGGCGGTATGTGCCGGTGAGGATTCTTGATAAGAATGGTTGGCTAGCATTTGTTCCTTCTAGTGGCGCTATGTGGGTGCGAATTTGTAACATGATTGGATTTTTTAGACTTCAGTAACATGATTGGATCTTTAGCTTATTTTCGTCGGTGTTTTGAAAAACATTTTAGCTTGTTCGAGTCGAGCTTTCGAATTGTTAGTTGCTTTTCATGTCCATGGGAAATGTGTGCTTCCGTCAGTAATTGGTTGGACGGATTTGAATTTCTGATCCCCGAGTATAATGGCGGATGCTTAAATAGTTAATTGTTTATTCAGATTGGGTGGTTCAGGATGTTGCCGTATGTTAGTATAATTAGGATGGAGTTTATAATTTTTTCTCGGTATTCAACTGGTCATGGATTTCAGTTATTTTTGCAGGTGCTATTTCTTTTACTTTTTCTTAAGCACATTGTAGAGCTGCCTCTCTTTGTATTAGAGTAAGCAAAATAAATGGCTATCTTCTTGTCATGCCCCAAAGGGTTAGATAACCCAAACAAAAAAGACAAACAAAGGATCAAGAACCAAGGTTGCAATGAGTTTTGCTTGGCGTTTATGCCATTAGCGTGATATATCAGCTGATAAAACTCAAAAAGAAATGCAATGTATGCTTTGCTTATTTACCATGAGTTTCTGTAGCCAGAATCACTAATCAACATGGGTATTTTGATTTTGGTTTCCTAGAATGTGACATTGAGATGGACATGTTCGGCAATAGGAAAACTACTTTGATTAAGGACTGAAAGACTCAATATTTCAATAAGAACTGAAATTCTGGCAAGAATAGATACAATAAGAAATCAGATCCTGGAGGATGGACATGTCCTTGAAATAAGAAGATATACCAGAATATAAATGCAAGCCTAAAGTATTAATTTCCTATGGAAGATTTACCTTCTAGTGTGGAAGGGGAATAAGATCATGGAGGACGATCAAAGAAGCATGCCACACTCAGCCAGTCACCATCTCAGTTTTGATAGTAGACATCATATGACGGCTAGTGTTCTTGGCTGCACTTTTTATATATATGGTCATTGGGTTGGTTTATGCTTGATCAAAATGGCTATTAAACAGTAGAAATCGATATGCATATATATAATCTTGGTGTTACAACGATATATTTGTCATAATCAGTGATAGATCGGCAAAAATCGTGAATTGTGATATTCTTGCATTCTTTTGGCACCAGCCACTAAGTTAGTGCTGTAGCATCATATTGCCACTAGTTTGATTTATTTCCAATGTTTTCAAAAAATGAATGAGATGAGAAAAAAAATAGCAAAAGCAGAACATGAAACAAAATTCCTCAGTAAACATGCCAAACTAAGAGGCAGGAAAGTAAAGATGACCAACACCCGAATGACCAAAGGCGCTAGCCTCAAAAGCTTCTTTATGTTTGTGTCTCCTGCCATGATCCACAGCTGTACCTTGTCAGTGGCCTCATGTATCACTGTATCCTTGCTTGGGATGACTCCATTGTTCCTTTGACCACTAAATTTTACAGTTCTTTTGTTGCTTTGATATTTGAATAGTAGTTTCAGTATGAGGAACCAATGATTCCCAATAGTTTAGGTTAGTCCTCTAAGTGTATGGATAATTATATATTTTGGATAGCTCAAGAATGTGAAACATAGTCTGTACCTGGCTCAATCTAATAAGATTACTGCTTTACATGGCTGTCAGTAGACTATCTACCTCTTACATCTGTTATATCTAAGCTGTGCACTATTTTTTCAGTGGTTCTTTTTGGCGGATACATGTAATGTTTTAGTATTCATGTGTATGGATTGCCAATATGATTTCTATCTATTTCATTCTTTCACTCATTGCACAGTTACTTATACTTTATTATGGTGTGCCATTCAAATTTGTGATTTCTTAGTATTGCTAAAACTACAGTAAACAAGGTTACAGCGTCTTTTCATCAAAATCCAAACTATCCAGGATTGATGAGTTCACTTTTTTGTGCAATACTTCTCTTCTGGAACAGATGGCTTTTCACTTTTGTTCATAATCTTGTCAATGGGTATTTACCAAATATCTTAATATTACAGGTTTCTTTAATGGAAGAGCAAAGACAAGAATCTACCAAATCTGATGATGAGAATAAGGCTAATGATGGAGATCCATCTTCGAACGAAACTGAGCCATCAAATGGAAAGACTGATATCAATGGTACACCTATGGATGAATCCCAGGTAACAAGATCCTTTGGCGGTTATCATAACTAATTTACAACATTGAGTTAAGTACTTACTAATCTGTAACTTATTTTGCTCTACCCATTCAGGGTTCCCACAGTACGCATTTTTTGGTTCTGGATTACCTTGTTGATTGTCTTTTTTATGAAAAAATAATGCTGCCAACTTTCCTTGTTGCTACATATGGTTCTGCATCTCCAAGCATCATTTATTGTTTGATATTTCCCAGCTGGCAACCTATTCTTTTTTGAGTATAAATATTTATTTATTTCCAGTAGCCAGTGCCAATTAGGATGTTCTCATGAGTTGTGTCATAATATGTGTGCATACAAGCAGTAGGTATAGTTTTAAACATAATATACCATATTCTTCAGAAGTAGAACCACTAAACATACCACTTTCCTTTTCACTACCATATTCGTCAAGGAACACTTTTCCCCTTCAAGTATCAAATAAGTAACATTTCTCCAGGAGGTCTGTATTTGAGCCAAACATTTCTTCAGGGAACACTTTGACCTAGCACACGCTAAAGACTCCGTAACCTCAGTTTCATAACTTTGATCGTGTAAATCCATCAAATCATGTATTAGTCAAATGCACTTCACACTAAAATCCCAGCTAGCTCCCTTGGGAGGGCGGGCCTGGCTTAGTGATATAGTTTCTCCACTTGTGCCCTGGAGATCTTGGGTTCAGACCAATCTCTTTGCAAACTCTGCAAGGGTAAGGCTGCTAGAAATCCATGACCTAGACTCCGACCTTGTGTGATTGCTTTCAATACTGGGTATGCCCAAGCTAGCTACCTCATGAACTCTCGGTGGATGCTCAAGATTCATGAGCTACCGCAGTACCGCTTCAACATGTGGTTGTTTACTTCAAATGTCCTTAGAAACCAATGATGTAGTTGGTGTCCCATGAACTCAGTGGATGCTCATGTGGTTGTTTACCTCTTCAGCATGCTTCAAATGTCCTTACTGAATTGGAAGAAACCAAAGATGTAGTGGCGGTCAATTCACATGATTGATGAGATGACATACAATAACATGCCTAAATCAGTTATCTTTCCCAACTCGTTTATGTATGTGGTTTATATACTTGTGTGTCGTCTTTACAATTTTTATAGAAAAATTGAGGAAAGATAAGAATTTTAAGAACATAATAAAACTGTCCTGTTTCAGGCATCATATGAGGATGGTCGAAACTCTGGTAAAAATGGCGGTGGAACAGACCTAAATTTGAATTTAGGTTTGAAAGACCCGGACGGTGATAATGAAGTTGAGACAACAGAGAAACATGAAGCGGCAAACAATCCGCAGACAGAGAATAGATCCAAGAGGAAATCCGTAACCCCTGACCTTGAGATGAGAATGTAAACCGGCAGTTTCATTTGTCTAAATTTTACTATTTGCCATGAGCCCATGAGGTGTGTAACTTAGGTACATTCTCATCGTAGAAACATTTCAGTAAAATTGATTACAGGACTTACAATAGTGTGAACTGTCTGAACTTTCTTTTTCTTAAATACGGAGGAGAATTGTCTAAAGTCAATGCCAAATATAATTTGATTTTCCAGAGATGTTTGGAATCGGAAAACATGTCTTCACAACTTATTTGCAAAATGTTCTTTCACTGCAAGGGTGTCCAAGTGAAACCATTCATTGAGAAACTGGAAACTGAGGGAACTATATACCCAGCTTATTTGACGAAAGTTTTACATTGTTTGATAGTACATTGTCTGTTTCAAATTTACATTGTTTGACAGTACATTGCCCGTTTCAAATTGTTAGTCGTTTTAGCACAAGCCGTTTTAGCTTTTTCATTTCAGGTACTACATCTGTCCCTAAAAGAATACAACTCTGGGTTGCGTGCCAATTGAAATGTTTCATGTTTGATCAAGTTTTTAGTAAATATTATTTATATTTATGTGGGGGTATGACTCCCCGATACCCACAGGGCTGTACATGGGCTGAGCCGCCAGGGGAGGCCCAGCTCATGAAACTACGCCAGACGGAGCACGGCATAGGTCGGTGTGCCTCGTAAGGCTACGTAAAGATCCTTGATGATCAAGGAAAATCTGTTCGGATATACTGGATTCCGTAATCTTTGCAATTCCTATCGTGTAACCGATCAGGATTAGATTCAATCGACCTATAACCCTACCCCCGAGCTATATAAGACGGGTAGGGACCCCCCTCGTTTTCATCTCATCTCATAATACAATCCACTAAAGCCACAGGACGTAGGGCATTATGTCAAGCTGATGGCCTGAACCTGTCTAAATCGCTGTCTCTGCATTCTGTGTCACCATCTAGTTCGTATCTCGTGCACCTCCACCGATTCATCTACTACCATGGGCATAACCCTCGGTAGATTGCCGACTAGATTTCGTCGACAGTGGCGCGCTAGGTAGGGGGTGTGCGTGCTGATTCCATGCTGAACCAGATGGTCCGCTTCTCGAGCTTCATGATCCTTCCCGAGCTAGGTCAGACCTTCACGGTCGGATCTATGACCTGGGTCATCGGCGCCAACGGCGTCGAGGAAATCGTGGAGGTGGTGCAGAATCACCCCGCACTGATCGTGCCAACATTTACAACGGCATCTCCGATCTCGTCGTCTCGCCGCTGGGCTAGGAGATCCATCGACAACGATGATCTCATCGCATCTATCGATCGGGTCACAGACCGCTTAGCAGAATATCAGCTCCTCATGGACTTAGTCTTAGATCGGTCTACCGTGAGCAATGAAGTCCCAACGCCCCAAGATCGCCGCGCCACTATGATTGAGCGATCTGCTCGGCCACGACGTCCGGGGTGGCAAGATTTAGATCTGGTGATCACGGCTACTCCAGAAGGGCATATCGTGCAATGCCGACCACTCCCAGCTATCGGCCTGCGCTTGGCCGATTACGAGGCCCCAATGGAAAACATGCCGAGGCCCTATCCTTTCGGGCTGGTGGGCGCGGGATCTGCGTATCAAGACGCCGTCCACCACCTCTTCATCGACCACATCGAGCGCGACCACATCGACGATCTCTACGTGATTGATCTGCCTAAGGTAGGTCAACCCGCTTTGTGGTCAACATGGTGTCTATTCGCAAGCTTCTGGACGACTCCTTCCACAACATTCCGGAGGAGAGCCCTGATGAATATTCCTAGGGCTCGACTGAAACCATCTCCACATGCCCTACTTTTCTGCCGGGATTTGGGGGCGGGATCTACCACAGCAGTCACGACAGCGTCACCAGAGACGGCGAAACCATCGCCGATCGCGATGCCCGTTTGGAAAGGAACGCCGATCGCCAGCGGCGTCGGGATGAAGAAGCCGCCCGTAGGGCTGACGGGGATCCTAACGCCCTGCACCGCACGCGCCGCAATCTGGAGGACGAGTTCGACATGGTGGGCAATTTGCCGGTGCAGAAGACGCCAAGCACCAATCTCGCCATCGTTTTCAATGAGTTGGAGAAGCTCCCACAGACTCCAGAGATCAAGAAGATCTAGGCGCATATCAAAGTGGCTCAAGTTCAAGTCAATGAGATCCACCATCCTACTCTGTCTTACTTGACCGCGTTAGTGAAAGGATCAAGATGCCCAAGGGGGGTGAATTGGGCCAATTCTAAATTTTTTGCAATAATTAAGTCCTACACTTAGCCCACTTCACCCCTTGCGCCTAGAATGTGTTTCTATTGTTCTCCCGCACAAAAGTTTTGCACCCTAGGTTCCAATCCTACTCTAGCATGGCAATTCTAGGAATGTAAAGACATGAAATGAATTGCTCAAATGTAAATGCTCAAAGTAAAGAGAGGGAGAGGAACACGATGATGTTTTCCCAAGGTATCGGAGAGTCGCCACTCCCCACTAGTCCTCGTTGGAGCACCCACGCAAGGGTGTAGCTCCCCCTTGATCCGCACAAGGATCAAGTGCTCTCTACAGGCTGATTCTTCGACACTCCATCGCGGCGAATCGCCCACAATCGCTCACAACATGACTTGGGTCATCCACAAGCTCCGCCAGATGATCACCAAGCTCCCAATCACCACCAAGCCATCTAGGTGATGCCGATCACCAAGAGTAACAAGCACAAACTCTCACTTGACTAAGACAAGCCTAATGAGAAAGGTGGATGCACACTTGCTACTCTCTATTCACTAATGAGGTCCTTCATCCAGGATTCTCAAATCTCAATCACCTCACTAGGCTCTTGCTCTTTCTTGCACTCCAAAGGTGTTTCTTAGCTAAGCATATAGGCAAGAGACCTCCCATGGACGAATGGAGTAAGTATTTATACCCCCTCATTCAAAACATAACGTTTGGGGGCTGAGTCAGCACTCTGCGTGATGACTAAACACTCCGATCAGTTATACCTACCACTGTGTCAGAGAGAGCCATTAAGTTCTGAATGGACTCTGACCAGCGTCTGGTCAGCATCAACCAGAAGCGTCCGGTCAACAAAAAGACGCTCTAGAACCTTATTGGAGTCGACCGGACGCATGCACCCCAGCGTCCGGTCAGCACCAACCGGACACCTCTGGTCAAGAAAAGGCCTCACTAGAACCTCTCTAGAGTTGACCGGACGTAGGCACCCTAGCGTCTGGTCCTCCACTCAGCGTCCGGTTAGTACCAGACGACTGCAGTTCATCGAATGAACTGACCGGACTCACCTTCCAGCGTTCGGTCACAACCAGACCAGCGTCCGGTCAATACCAGACGACTGCAGTTCATCAAATGAACTGACCAGACTCACCCTCTAGCGTCCGGTCAGTCATTTGACCCTCCATTCACTTCCAACTCGAAATCCTACGTGAATGAAGTTGACTCCAATTGATCTTAGGGCTATTCCTGAGCTACCTAGTGCTAAGTTTGACAAGTGTGCACCACACCTAATCCATTAGACTCACCTAGGTCAAGCTACTAGTCCATACCCCCTGTATAGTATGGCCAAAGGAAAAACAAAGTCCTAAACTACTCTAAGTGTCTCTCCAATATCAAACGACACTTAGAACTAGTCCGTCCTTAGCCTTGTTGTTCATCCTTTGAAAACCAAAATGATTTCCATCGATAGGGGCATGACAACCATGACTGCCCAATCAGTTTCCATTACCATGACCTAACTTAACTTGCCTCTGCAAAACACACGTTAGTCATAGTAATCTCGTGTTGTCATTAATCACCGAAACCCAACTAGGGGCCCAGATGCCTTCAATCTCCCCCTTTTTGGTGATTGATGACAACACAACCTCAAGTATGTAAAAGAGATGAGTGAGGTTTTCAACATGCTTGGTTCATATAAGCTTTTGACAATAAGAACAAAAGGGGTTAGACATGCTTATATGACCCAAGCCAACAAGGTGTACTCAAAAGATATGAATTAAGCGTGAGTACATGAAGTAAAGGTCATTTGAATCGGAGTAAAACGCGGAAGCAAAGAAAATGAGCATAATCCAAGTGACATGACATATATATAACAATGTAGAGAGCACACATGTCACATACGTCTCACAATCACATGTAAATTATGCAATGCATGAAAGTAAACATGAATGTACGAAATATCACACACAAAAGACCAAAAGAATTGAAACGAGACCACCTCACATGCTCCCCTAGATCTAACATACTCGCTTCCTCTCCCCTTTTGGCATCAAGCACCAAAACCTAAGGGCTGGATGGTGGGACATGAGCAGTCGAGTCGGGCGCTGAGGTGCGGTGAGAAATCTAGAACTGAGCTGCATCATCCTCTGACCCTGAACTTTGAGTGGTCTGACCCTCTGTAGTTGGAAGTGAAGGTAGAACAATATAGGTTTGCTCAGTAACTGGCGCGGCCTGTGACTCTGGAAGTGTCACTGAACGAAGTGGAGCCACATCTGCCTCTATCGCTGTCGCTGAAGCCTCAAGTGTAGGAGTGACTGTTTGAGGTGGCTCGGACGATGCAACAGACGACGGAATCATCTCTGTAGTCCTAGTAACTAGAGCAACTATGGTAGGGATAGGGACTCATAAGTCTGGAGGTGTAGGCTGCCCTATAAGCTCACTGAAGGTAGCACTGAGACTCCTGGAGACTGGGGTGTCCGTCACTAACATTGAAGAACTCTGAGATGGAGTGAAGCCCATAACAATAGGAGTAAAGTGAGGACCCTGAGCTATCACTGGTGAAGCAAACCACTAGGACACCTACTCTGTAGGTGAAGCAAACTGAGTAGCTGGTTGTCCCTGACTCTGAAGCCCACTGGGCTGTACAACTAGAGTCACTGAGTGGTGGTGGCAGGCTGACCTATCTGAGGTGTAGACTGCTGAGGAGCAACCCCAATAGCAGTGAATACATGCTGCATGAAGCCAAGTAACTGCTGCTGAATCATAAGCTGCTACTGCTGCATGGC